AAAAAATAAAGTTTAGGACTTTCTTGTCAAATCGATGAAAATATTGGGACTTTACTGTATATATCCCAATATTAGAGATGTTTAAGATTTTTTTAATTATTATGTCATAAGAATCCGGTTAATTTCGTTATCATTTTAAAATATTTTTGTATGATCTTATTACACTTTTAGGTTGATTTGATAGGAAATAATATATTGTCTATTTATGCATCCTTTGAAATTAAGTATAGAAACGATTTTGTTGACAGCCATAATAGCTTTCATACCTCTTTATAAATCATACTTCTTTATATATAAATACACTGTTTACGTCCCTTTTATTTCATATAAAAGTTCTCTCTAATTCTAATTGTTTTCTCTTTCATTTTACACAATCAATTCCATGGCACAAAACAATTGGGATGAGATCGTCTTTGATAAGGTTGCTGACATCGATGAACCCAAGGAAATTTGGAACATTCGTGTTCAAGTAATCTTGCTTTGGAAGCAAACTTACAAAAACATCCCAAAGATGTTCAGCAGCTTGGACATGATTTTAATTGACGAGCAGGTACAATTTTTTCTTTTTATTATTATTTTTCTTTTAATTTATAAAATTTTAAACTTAACCACTTTTTTTCACTTACAGGGCACTAAAATTCAAGCAACAATACAAAAATCTCATTAATCGTTTGAAGCCCTCTTTGTTGAAGGATCTATAAGGGAAATTAGTAGTTTTGGTATGTCCATAAATGAAGGAGATTATATGTTGGTTGATCATAAGCATAAGATTAATTTCTGCAAAAAACCAAAGTTCATGTATTAAATGATTTTGCTGTTATGGTGGATCCTTATAATTTTGTCACTTTCCAGGATTTGACTGCCAGGAATCTCGACATTCATGTTGCATTTCTTCAAATACAGACTATAACACCGTTTGTTATATCTTCAACACGAAATACCATTCGTTTGTAATCAGTTGATTATTTTTTCCAATCATCAGCACATAATATCAATTATTAGTGTTACCTGAAGTATAAAATACTCAAGTGAATGATGGAAAAAATAAATAGTTCTATCATATAGATATCTGAAGTCTTGGTCAAGTCATACTTTCTCAGCTCGATGAGATAAGAAGAGTAGTTCCTCTTTTAGTGTCCAGTTTCTTCCACGATAGAAACAACAATAATCATTTTGATCATTTCTTGATTTCTAGGTTTATGTTGTATTTCCCTTAACTGAACTATAGGTCTATTAGAGTGCACAATCTTGTAGATATTCCTTTATTCCATGATTGAACAGGTTTGAAGCACATTCTGCTGTTCATAATAAATATCTACTTTACTTGATGAGACATCTGATATGTTTCATAATTATCCAAGACTTTCTGCAAGTCAAGGTTAATTACTCAAGTTTGATGTGAGACACATCAACATCGTCACAATAATACTTCCATCAAAGCATCATGATCAGATTGACTGGCTTGCAGAGGTTATTCAGGTATGAGATCTTTCAGTATATATAATTTCTATTTATCCTTATGGAAAAACCTCAATCTATTATACCATTTATAGAAATTATAACCATGAAATGTTACTGTCTCTTGATACTCAACAAGAGTGAGATTTTACAGGGCGTACAAGTATTAGCAGTTATATAAAAAATTTAACAAAATTTCATTTAGTATTTTCAATATTAAGTCTTTAAAAATTAATACCTTTTATTGTTTCTAAAACATTAATTTACTAACGTCTAGGATCCAAGTAACGAAACAAGTAAATGGTTAGGTGACATTTATCACATTAACTTAATCAAACTCGGTAGTTAGCGAATACCAGTTGCATAATATATGTAACTCCTAGATAATGGGATCCCAAACAATTATTGCTTATTTTGGCATGTTTGATCCTATCTATGCCTCAGACCTCTCATTCTTACGTTACCTTTATCACACAAGATTCTGATAAAGTCTTCCTACTTAATACAACTTGTAGTATTGCAACTAACCAGTGACAAGGTGACTCTTTAGTCACTAGAAACTACAAAACTACCCCGAACATCAGAAGGCAATCCTAGTGGTTAGGTTACCCGTCGCCCACTAAGACCATACAAACGATATCGGGTGTTCTTTAAAAGTACGGAAATGATCTGAATTTATAAGAAAAGGTTTTAGATACGTTTTACAATTATAGTTATAAAAAACATGGTCTCATGAATATTGCATACATCCAACAATTCATGTACCGTTTTGTAAAAATCATATTACTTTTTATAAGGTTCTTTAGGTACCAAATAAAACTTTCTTTTATTTACCATTAGCCGCAATTATAAATCAAATCCGATTTTAAAGTTTAGTCATAGAGCGGTTTTAAGAATCGGTAATAGTCTTAATAAAACTTTATTGTATACTTAATACATGGAGTTTTGGATGAGTTCTAAAATCACAATTTTAAATCTCCTTTTAACAATAAAAAACTTATGCATCTTATGATAAAAGTCATATTTTGATAAACCAAAACTTGAGTGATGATACTGATGTTTTAAATCTCTTTTGGCATGCATAAAACATAATATCAACATGTTACGTTATGTTTAAAACACTAATATCATATATTAAGTTTCGACACAAAAATAAGTAGTAGTTTATTATTTGTCGCTATAACATTATAAATCGATTTTAGTCGTTCTAATAAAAACTCCTTATTTATTATAAAAACATGGAGTTTATATAGCTTTTAAACACATTTAAACCATTTTAAATATTTTAAAATTGGCTATTTATAAGTTTTACAATAAAACTAGTTTTAACAAAAAAATCGATTTTTAACCAGTAACCAGTAAAGACGTTTTTATAAATATTCATTTATAAACATATTATGTTATCTTTTAAATTTTTTTTCCTCAAACTGCAAGTGATATTATATTATGTTAAAATGTTATTTGGCATGTAAAACTCATTTTCATACATAAACATAACATACAATAACATGAAATAAACATCACATGCATGCATTATAATGTGTATAAAAAAAGTAATGTCTAGTAATAATATTTGTGAGCCATCATAAGAATAATTAAGTCTTTCCTAAAGGACTTAAGGTAATCTTCAAAAGGTCTTCAAGATCCCACTTGTTAAGTCAACTCTTGCTTGCAAAAGGACTTCAAGTCTGCATGCTGTGAAGGTTGGAACACTTATACCATTAAGACTATAATTAAGCCCAAAACCAAAAGAAGAAGCTCATGGTTAGGATTATAGTCTCAAGTGGTTAAGTCATATTCAAAGAGGTCATTTCTTCATCTTGTTACATTTAAAAATAAATACAACTAGTCTAACTAATTTATTATATAAAATAAACAAATGAAAAAATACATATTTATCTATTACATCTTATGAATAAAAAATACTAATTTATTACTATAATTCAGCTTGTTTACACACAACAACATATCAAATATTATAACAAACATGTCACAACTAGCATTTTTGCTAGGAAATTCCACTCTCATATAATCATTCAACTAGTATAATCACTGGTACTCTAAGCGAATATCATACTCTATGCTCATCCGAATACATCTAATATGCTCAACTAAGGGCTGAAAACCTTAGAAATCCCGGTTCAAGTTCTTTATGGATTAGGATTTTCTTATTGGGTCTAACGGACCAATAGGCATTCAATTCGACTTGAACGGGCTTAGAACCCTTATATGGGCTCTAAATGAACCCACATTCATAAAACTTAACATTTTGGGCCATAATGAGCCTAAAATGGATCAGTTTACCCTAATGGGCCTTCTTGGACCATAACAACTTCAATTAACCCTAATCGGCCAAAAAACTTCTTAATGGGCCTCATATTTTCGAGCAAGACCAAGAATGGGCCCAAATTAAATCACTTTTCTTTCCTTAGCCCATTCTCGGCCAAAAATTAAGAAAAAAAAAGAGAATGGAAGATCAAATGAGACCATGCCACCTCATTTTTACATGTAGGATAACCAAGCCTTAAACATAACATGTATCCATGAACATCTCTTGTATCCATGCACCCTTTTCTTCCCTTATCTCTTTTTCTTCTACCTTTGGCCGAGAATCACAAACACACACACACATATCATTTGAAATTCTCTCAAATAAACTCTCAAACACTCTCAAGAAAACAACTCTTCCTTCCTCTCAAAATTTTCGAGATTTAAGCATTCAAGAAGTTTTCACCTAGATCATCATTCTTGGTAAGTTTTCATCATATGTCACACCCCCAAACCAGAATGGCGGAAACATTCGGGGGTGGGTGACCTCACGTAGTATCATAACAGTTGAATATTTGTAAAGAAAGTAAACACAACCATCATAAATATAATTTAAAAGTTACATTGTTGCATATAATACATGTTTCAAAAGAATATTACAAATATGATGATTTAAAATGTTTTGATAACTGACGCCTTAGCGTTCTTTCTCCAAAAGCTGATGTTTTACCTGTATTACTGATTCCCTGAGAAATACAAGTAGTTTTGAAAAAGTGTCAACAATTAAGTTGGTGAGTTCATAAGCGTTTTTGTACTAAAATTGTATGCCTTTCGGTATAAATAACTGAGCGTGTTTCTAGAAAATCCAATATTTTCCATGTATGTGTGGTAGTTTGAAAAAGTTCTAAAGACTGGAATGCATAAGTATCTTCCGTACTAAAAATGGTGTAAGTGGATTTATACATATATAATGTAATTATTGAATGCATTTAATAGTCTCGTAAATCAAAGATATTTCGATACTCCACGTGAGTTTTATAACCATGCTATTGACCCAGACTGCCTGTAACAACGTTCTTCAGGCGTTGCAGTGTTATGACGTTTGTCACCCCAGACCTGCCGGTCTAACTGTAGCTAACAGTTTAGGTGCGGGATTGTCAATCCCGTATAGATCTATACACAATTATCACGCTCTCCCTACAAGAGATTATGGTTTATAATACAGGACTTGAAATGCATACTTGAGAGTACGTTGAAGCCGAGTGTCTCACAAAACTTAGTATCAATAGATTTACGGAATGAAAAGTGTACATTTCTTGTAAATGAAAGTATTTCCTTTTTACAGTGTTTATGTAAAGATGTCATGAATAACTTGTAAACTATAGCCATTATAGTTTTTCGAAAGTGTGTTCCATTTGGTGATAAAAATTCGGTGTAATACCAACTTTGCATGTAAAGTGTAACGTTGGTAGTAATGTTGTTTAACATTTATAAACAAAACGTAGGTAAAGTGTTTGAAACCGTATGTAACGATGTGTATTTAAACATAAGTTTTTCTCGTGTTTCACTTGTATCCCCCCCCCTAAACTATGAGAAGACGTGAAAATGTAGGGGTATGAACTCACCTGGAAAGTGTGGTGATTTGAAGAAAACGAGATTTTTCTCGGGCAGCACTTCGACCGGGAAGTGGTAAGTTTCTTGGGATTCTCGAAGCTTCGGACCTTCGTCGGGGCATGGATACGTAATCGGGGTGTCAGGGTCGTCTCGGGGTGCTAAACGTAGAGTAGAAGTGAGAGAGAGGAGAGAATTGAGCAAGTAAAACCGAAACCCTCAGTTTCTATTTATAGGGTGAAATTTCGGGACTCACGTCGTGAGCATGGGATGGCTCACGTCGTGAGTTTGGTCCGTAGACGCAACGCCTGGTGGTCTAGCTCTGGCACA